ATTATACTTTATACTTTGTTGTTTTTGTCTTGAACTTTTTTGAATTTACCATGTCTTGGATGACTGAGAATCTTCACCAGCTATTAATGACACAATCGGCTTACCATATTCCCCAACCTCCGTTCTGTTCGCTGCTTGGAGCAAGTCAAACCAGCTGCACTGCCCCGGCGAATTGCAGCTCATTTAACCATTAAAGTGCATTTATTAAGTAAAAGTTCAACTGAGACACACCTTTGCTATAATTTTGAGCAAACAAATAATTGTTTTAGGTGCTTTTCTTGTTAAATTTCGAAGAAACGCAGCGGTCCTCCTTGTTTTTTTTCCTCCATTTGCGCGCTCTTGGAGCATCGAGGCAGCGAATACAGCTGATTTGACTGTTAAAGTGCATTTATTAAGCAAACATTAGACTGAGACACACCTTTCTATAATTTCAAGCAAACAAACAATTGTTTTAGGTGTTTATCTTGCTAAATTTAGAAGAAACGAGCAGCATTCGTGCTTCCTTTTTTCCCTCCCTCTGCTCGCTCCCGGACCACCGAGGCAGTGAATACAGCTAATTTGACCGGTAAAGTCATTTTATTAACCAAACGTTAGACTGAGACACACCTTTACTATAATTTTGAGCAAAAAAATAATTGTTTTAGATGTTTATTTTATTAAATTTCTAAGAAATGCGGAGGCTCGTCCATCTGCGCATGCCCGCTGCGTCCGCAATCGGGTTTTGAAATACAGATGATTTGACTGTCAAAGTGCATTTTTAAAGCAAAAGGTAGACTGAGACACATCTTTACTATAATTTCAAGCAAATAAATAATTGTTTTAATGTGTTAGTTAAATTCTTGTTAAAGTCCTCCTGTTCACGCTCCCGTGGCCACCATTTGGCAGCCCATCGATTTTTGGCACAACACCGGCCCACATTTTCGGGTTCGGCTCACATTTCCGAGTTGTCAGCGGTGACGCGTAACAAAGCGATGCATCAGCGGTGATGCATAATAGATGCGACGTATATGGCGAAGTGACATTTTTATGGATTTTTCCACTTTTTTAGACATATTTGGACTGATGCGACTTATAGGTTGGTGCAACGAGTACGACGGGAAATACAGTACTTTAAAATAAACTGCGGTCTGTGCTCCACTACCATGGTTAGCCAATGCTTACTGTTACTTTCTGTATCTTACAGGAAGTTGTTTCAATAATCATTTATACAGTAGAGACCCCAGGAATAAAGTGGATAGGGATTGCTCAGACTTTTGAATTGAGATTTTTGCAACGTCATAACCAGTTTATATTTACTTGGCATTGATTGCACTTAGAATGTTCAGAGTTTGAAGAAATAGTTTCTGTCCAACATGGCTGATGAGGTAACAGCAAGTCCAAACTGTCGAGATATGCCACATCTAGAGAACGGACCAGAAGCTAAAAGTTGAAGCCACCATGGACGAGTGCCTCCTACGAGACTGGCTGCAGTTCAGTTTTTAAATTTCACCCCTTCATGTAAACAAATGGAACATTTGCCTCACTTAAAAATAAAAATTTACCACAGATAATATTTTCCAGCTGTTTATTTTTGTTGATACCATACCGGTAGTTCTTCTTGCTCTTGTATGTTCAAATTTGCATATCCCCCCACGCTTAGTTTGTTATTTGAGGCGTAAGAAAAGTGTCACGTTACACTATGATGGACCTCGTCACAGCCTGTTATGGTTGGGAGGGTGTAAAGCAGTTCATCTCCATGCTTTGATTGTGCAGCCTCTGCCTCCAAAAGTAAAACTGAAGTGCTGCCATTTGCAAACGATCTCAGTTGGGCTTTTGTGTAACTAAAAATAATAAGAAATGGTCAGACAGCAAACAGGCTAGATGTTTAATAATTGTTTTGTTTGCTGTGGGTTAGAGTGAATAAGGAGCAGTCTTCTAACTCAGTTCAGAACTTGTTCAAATATTCAGAAATGACATCTGAACATTAGTCTTATCTTATTAATTTTTAATTTAACTAGGTGAACATTTCTTATTGTTGACAGAAGAGATGCTGTCTATCCTTTTCCTCTTTCTCTTCTTCTTGTTGCGTTCTGTTTTGTGTGTTTGGGTGCAGAGGAAGTGAGGTTGTATCAGAAGCCAGTTACCAGTAAGAAGGATGTGTAAAAAGGCAGCAGCCTCCTCCTCCTCCTTTTACTCTCAGTCTCACTACTTCTCCACCTCCTCACCTTCCCAAATCTTCTGTTGTGCATGCAAGAACCAGTCGCATGTTTCGGGTTGGTTTGATGTTTGATGCTGTGCTCTTTCAGTGACTTTTATTTTATTTTTATTTTTTGCTGTGCTGTGCTGTTCAGTTCCTTGTCTGCGAAAAGTTTTCTGTCTCGTGAAGTAAAGTGCAGAGATCTCCTTCTGCTCTGTCAGTGGTGTGTGACTTCAAGTTTCTTCTCTTAGATATGTGATAAAACTTTTATTTTTAGCCTATAAAGTTTGCCTTAATTAAGAAATGTGAAGTATATGTGTCAAAATGATTGCATTAGATTTGTGTATTTATTTACCAGTAGTTGTATTCAAGTCAACAACCTTAATATTTTTAGTAAATTTGATGTTTCTGTTTAACAAACCTGCATTTTAAACCAGTTTCGAACTACTTCAAAAGCATCTAGATCAGGGCTATTCAACAAAACTGCTCAGGGGGCCACAGGTCCTGAAAGACAGCAGTTCAGGGGCTGGACATCCAGCAATTTTTCATTCAGCCTTTATTTAGACAGGTAAATCCCATTGAGCCTCGAGGACTCATTTACAAGAGAGACCTGAAAATTAAAGTCATTATGTAGCTAAACCAAGTATTACAATGATCTGTTACCTTTAAAACATGTTTGTTTTATTCCATTGAGTCATAAATGCAATTAACAGAATCCAAAACAGACCCCACCACCCCTCAAATTTTTTTTTTTAAATTTATGAACTCATTGGTGGGCCAGACTGAAGTCAACGCGGGCGCCAGTTGAATAGCCCTGTTCTAGATCATTCCTCTAAATGTAACAGGTTTATCTTAAATAGATTGCTTTGTTTCTCCAAATAATAATACAATAAAATGCAAATCTATTCTTGTTTGAATTATGGTTGTTTTACGTGCTTCTTTTAAGATTTCTAAAACTTCACTAGAAATTAGTTATTCATATTTTACTACTTTATGACATAATTAGTGTTTTTGTAAATTATCTCATGCTAAATGCACACAAAGACTTTCTTTTGTTATTAGTTTATACATGTTAAAATGGGAAAAAATAGTTTTTTACTCCTGCAATCTTCTGCAGGTGCTGGAATTAAACATATACACCAACTTGGATTCTTGATTTTAGGTCTCCTTTTAAAAATAATACAACGGGTCAATTACAAGAACATAAATGTTGGATTAGAGCTATAGTAAAACAAAACCAAATGACAGACAGGAAGGAGATGCAGTCCTGCATGCAAGGAATTGAAAAAAAAAGTTTTTTCCATGTCTGTATGTAACAATGTCAGAAGGCCAAAAACCTTCATAAGTGTAATAATAAAAAATGTTCCTCTTTCTGTTTTTCTGTTTAACCTTCTCCCCCTTTGCCCCCTTCTTTTACATGCTCCCTCCTCCCCCTCACCAGCAAAAGCAGCGATGCCCGGTGCTGGAGGAGCAGCTGGTGGACCTGGTGGTGTACGCCATGGAGCGCTCTGAGACAGAAGAACACTTTGATGCTGACGTCGGAGGAACGAGCCAGCTGCTGTGGCAGCACCTCTCCTCCCAGCTCATCTTCTTCGTGTTGTTTCAGTTCGCCAGCTTTCCGCACATGGTGCTCTCGTTACACCAGAAGGTAAGAGGAAGCAAGGCACACCTGCTGGTTACTCAGTCACGTTTTTTTTTTTTTTCCGGACCAGATTAAAAAAACTCAAATCTGGGTTGTTGGAAACTGCAACAGTGTCAGTGTTACTGATCATCTACAGTGTTTCCCCTAGATAACTTGCCATAGCTGGGCGCTCATCTCGTCCTTGATTTTTGTCGGGAAGGGGGGTGGCAGAAGACAGGGACGGAGACATGTCTTGAGCTGCCCAATGCTGTTTATATTGATGGTTGTGGGGGGTGGGGGAGTGCGCACAGTTCGGTAGACGAGGTGCTCGGTTCTGTTGACAGGGCGGGGCGCCCCACTTGTATAATGGTAGAGGAAACACTGATCTAACTGTATGCTGTGGATGTCATGACAATAATTCTGTTTTTATTACAAATCAAGAAACATCAGGAGGCAGAAACGCACCTCTGGTAAATGCCAAAACAATGGAGATATTTATTATTAAGAAAGGAAGCTTACTTCAATCATTTACTATCAGAAGCCTCCTAATTTATTTTATTAAATTACTAGCCAGAGTTAGTGACCATAGGTGAGGGTAGGAACATAGACCGAGAGCTTTACCATACAGCTCAGCCCCCTCTTCACCACAAAGGCCCGGTACAGAGTCTGCAATGCTGCAGATGCTGCACCAATCTGTCAAGCTCATGCTACATTCTTCCCTCACTTGTGAACTAAACCCCAAGATACTTGAAATCCTCAACTTGAGGCAGAACCTCACCCTCGACCTGAAAAGAGCAATCCACCCTTTTCCAGTTGAGGACCATGGCCTCAGATTTGGAGGTGCTGATTCTCATCCCAGCTGCTTCACACTTGGCTGCAAACCGCTCCAGTGAGAGCTGAAGATCACAACATTATTTATGCCAACAGGACCACATCATCTGCAAAGAGCAGAGATGGATTCCTGAGGCCACCAAACCGGAATCCCTTCGCCCCCTGGCAGCACCGAGAAATTGGGTCCATAAACGTTATGAACAGAATCGGTGACAATGGGGAGCCCTGGCTGAGTCCAACTCACTGCTGGCAATGCGAACCAAACTCTCGCACCACTTTTATAGGGACCGAACAGCCTGTAACAATGGCCCCCAATCCCATTCTCACAGAGCACCCCCCACAGTTTCCCCCGAGGAACACAGTCAAATGCCTTTTCCAAGTCCACAAAACGCTTGTAGACTGCATGGGCAAACTCCCATGATCCCTTGAGGACCCTAGTGAGGGTAAAAAGCTGATCCAGTTTTCCACAGCCAGGACATAACCCGCATTGTTCCTCCTTGATTTGAGGTTCGACCAATGATCGGACTTGCTTCTCCAGTACCCCTTAATAGACCTTACCAGGGAAGCTAAGGAGATGATTTGCGTTGTAATTAGAACACACCCTCCAGTCCCCCTTTTTGAAGAGGGGAACAACCACCCCAGTCTTCCAATCCAATGGCAAGGCCTCTGATGTCCACATGATGTTGCAAAGGCATGTCAACCAAGACAGCCCCACAACATCCAGAGCCTTAAGGAAATCAGGGTGAATCTCATCCACCCCTGGAGCCCTGCCATCGTGGAGTTTTTTAACTACTTCAGTGACCTCAGCTACAGTTATGGACAGACAAACTCCAATGTCTCCCGACTCTGCTTCCTCCATGGAAGATGTTCTGGTAGGATTGAGAAGATCCGAAAAGTATTTCTTCCACCTCCCAATGGCATCACTTGTTGAGGTCAACAGTGCCCCACCTTTACTGAACACAGTGTTAGTAAAGAGCTGCTTTCCCCTCCTCAGCTGCCTGCTGGTTTGCCAGAATCTCCTCGGAGCCGACTGAGAGTCTTTATCCAAGGCCTCACCGAACTCCTCCCACGTCTGAGCGTTTGCCTCAGCAACATTTAAGGCTGCAGACCGCTTGGCCCTCCGGTACTCCTCAGATGCCTCCAGAGTCCCACCAGCCAACAAGGACCGACAGGGCTCCTTTTTTCAGCATCTTACCCCACCGTCTGATCCAACTCACTACCAGGTGGTGATCAGTTGACAGCTCAGCTCCTCTCTTCACCAGAGTGTCCAAAAACAAGGCCACAAATCAGATGACATGACTACAAAGTCAATCATTGATCTACGACCTATGGCGTCCTAGTACCAAGTGCATTTATGAACACCCTTATGTTCGAACATGGTGTTTGTGATGGGCAAACTATGACTAACACAGAAGTCCAACAACATAACACCGCTTGAGTTCAGATCAGAGAGGCCATTCTTCCCAGTCACGCCCCTCCAGGTCACACTGTTGTTACCCACATGGGCATTGAAGTCCCCCAGCAGAATAAAAGAGTCCCCAGCTGTTATACCTTCCAGCACCCCCACCAACGGACTCCAAGAAGGTCGGATACTCTGAACTGTCATTTGGCGCATAGGCACAAACAACAGTCAGAGCCCATGTAGTGCTCCTCCGTTCTGTTTAATGGCCCTTTAAGCTTAAATTAGATACTGGTATTTAAACACATATTTACTGTGCACAGAAAGATTTTTTTTACTTTTATTTAAGCATGTTTCAGTCTTGACTGATTGGTTTAAAAATAAATCTGACAACTTCATCACCGTTGAGCTCTCATGACAGAAAGGGGAGGGGGGAAGACACCTGTTTCTCCGTTTCATGTTTGGATGTGACTTTAAAATGAGATCCTGGTATTTAAATGCATATTTACTGACACAGAAAGATGTCGCACAGAAAGAATTTAAAAACTAATATTAAAACATGTATCAGACTTGACTGCTTTTGCGTCTCCAATCCCCGACCATTGACAAGTTGATGCAAAGCTTACGGGCTGCAGCTCTGTTTCCTCCTCGACAGCTGATTGATCGCTTTTAACATGAAAGCTGTGTCATAAGAAATTCTCCTCGCGTTTTCCATTATCACTGAACAAATGAACAGGTCTGGCATGAAGCGCAAAATACGATTAACACCACGGGAATGATCTGAAGAAATTAATTCACGTCTATCCTGGGGTATGGTCCTCGAGAGTACCTAGTTGGTCATTCAGGTAAGACTTCTGGTCACATGATGATGGAGTGGGTGGAGTTATGGTTGAATATTTGAAACCATGAGCAAAAGGCCTTGTACATCTGATTACCTGGGGGCATTGAAACTACGTAGAGATGGCAGGAAAATAAAATAAAATGTAAAAATATAAATTTTGAAAATTATGAAAAAAAATACGTAAATAAGATCTCCTGCATAGAAACCGCGGGGTACAAAGTAAGAAAAAAGTAGTGCCTTTTACACCGGCAATTACAGTATATCTAGTCGGTACCTTTCAACCTCACGCACAAGCTCAGGCTCCTTCCCCGCCAGAGAGATCACATTTCATGTCCCAAGAGCCAGCTTTGGCAAGCCAGGGTCAGAGCGCCAAGGTCCCCACCTTCAGCCACTGCCCATGGCGTCATGCACCCGACTCATATGGCCCCTCCTACAGGTGGTGGGCCCACAGGAAGGCAAACCCACATTGCTCATTTGAAATGCCAATAACTGATATAATGGCTGGAAATTTTTTAGCTTTGTCCACCCCCAAAAGTCTTAAGTAAACAGTGAGTGGAGCGGAACTTGTTTATTTAGAGTGGCTGTTAGCAACCATGAAGCTAAGCAAATTAGATCCATTCTATACCTATACCCACAGTAGGTTTACAAGTGTTGCACTGGTCATAAAAACAGTCTTCCTAATGTGCATTCACATTTTTTATCCTCCACTATTCACCATAAAGTTAAGTGTGTTACAAAAATATAAATTTAACAAAGAAACGTCTTTCCCTGTTCATTGTAATCAGTCACAATTCAATTCATTCAACCTTTATTTAGACAGGTAAATCCCATTGAGCCTCGAGGACTCAATTGAGGACGACAAAGATAACATTACTAACACTGATATATATTTACCTCTATGTTAGATTTATTGTTCTGGATAAAGTTTTACAAGGCAATAGCCTATGCTAGGTTATCTAAACGTTAACTTGCTAACTTGAGAGGCACATAGCTAAGGACAAGCAGGTTGGAGGATTGAATAGGATTTATTATTGTTGATTTATTTTACAGATCAGTTAAAATAAACTTGCCATGCTGTGTTCAACAAAATGCACTACACGGTATTGTTACCTGCTTCGTCTGTGCTGAATGTGAAAGTGAAACTTAAGATGAACAGCTATGACTTGAAAGTACTCACCCCCTGCTGGATACATTGGACAATCACAGCTATTTCCCAGCATTTTAGGGGTGAAAATCAGACAATTTATATTGGTGCATAATGGGCCAATTATCACAGATACTGATACAGATACTGATACCCTAACGCCCATATCTGCCTAAAATATCGAACCTACCGATATATCGGTCGGACTCTAGTATAAAGTAAATGAGCAGAAAACCTTGATAACATGTTTTTATTTGTAGTAGCCTACGGTCAGCTCACAGTTGCTGAGTAGTGCTTTAAAGATGGGATTTACTGCTTTAAAGAATACATTAGATTGTCAAACAAAATATCCTCTAAGGTCAGCTCTTTCTGACTTTTCAAAAGCCCGAAAGAGCTGACCTTAAAGCTCTTAATAAAAATTTATTCATGAAAACTTAAAAAAATTATCAAGGACTCATACATGTTACACTGTGAGCTCAGTATTATAAAATCTTGATAGGAACTCTTGTCATACTGTAGGATATATGATTGAATCAATGTAAGACAGTATGTCTTCTTGACGAGAATTGACTACGTCTTAAAGAAAATCATTTGTGAACCTGGCTTTGCACAATCACCAACTTGAACTACCAGTGCTCTACTGAATGGAGTTATGCTTGAAAAATTCTGCCTTTTCACATAAAAGCAGAAACAATAAACTAAAGTCCAGGCAGTGTGTTTTTTTTTTTTTTTTTTTTTACATTTTAATGCTAAATTTTATTGTGCAGCCTCAGTTTTTTTCTTCTTGGCTGACAGAAGTAACACATTGTTGATCCGGCTTGTTTTAATGTTTAAATCGACCATCAACAAATCCTCCTTATAGGTCTTAAACACAGTTAAATAAACACACTTAAATACCAGATTAAATACAGGTTTAATGAACATTTCCACAAATTTAAACAACAAAAATGCTTTTGTGTATGTAACATGAGTCTAGACGCCCACGAGCGTGGGACACTGATCTACGTGGACGACATCCTTTTGAGACAGCCGACACTGGACTCTCATTTGGCTGAGATCGACCACGTCCTCAATCAGCTAACGACTGCTGGTGCTAAAATCTCACTGTCGAAATGCCAGTGGTGCAGAACCAAGGTGGATTACGTTGGCCTCCTAGTAGGCCCGGACGGAATACAACCACAGTTGACTCGCACCCAAGGCCTGGACAACCTCAAAGTCCCAACCAATCTCAAGGAACTGCAGAGTTTCTTGGGACTGTGTAATTACTCTCGCCAGTTCATAGAGCATTATGCGGACCTCGCAAAACCACTGACTGAACTCTTAAAGAAAGACGTTCCTTTTGTCTGGACTGATACACAGCAGCAGGCGATGAACGCTCTTAAAGACAGGCTCAAGTTAGCCCCATGTCTAGTCTACCCAGACTACAACAAAGAGTTCTACTTGGAAGTGGGCTTCTCACCTCACTGCATGAGTGCAGGTCTGTACCAAATACACGACAAAGACAAGCGTGTTGTGGCCTACGCCAGCAAAACGATGGCAGGCCCTGAATTACGGTATTCAGACTGTGAGAAGGCTCTATTGACCACTGTGTGGGCAGTGAAACATTTCTCCTGCTATATTGGTGGACAGAGGATCATTGTTGAGACACAACACCAGCCAGTAACGTTTCTGAACAGCCAACGCATCAGAGATGGTGTGGTGACAAACTCACGTGTTGCAACCTGGCTTATGGCACTTCAAAGTTTTAACCTAGACATCCGCTACGGTCAAAATAAGAAGTCGCACTTGGGCACTGATTTGGCAATCTGCCAAGAATGTACACAGGATGTACCAGCCACCCAACAGCCGGTTGTGAGTAAACCCTCAGCTGCTGAGGACCCAAATCACCACTTCTTTGATGGCAATATCTGTAAAGATATGGCGACATTGTACGTGGATGGATGTTCATTCCACCACGAGAAAGTCTGCAAAGCAGGTGTTGGAGGTGTTCTCCTCCAAGACCTGGAACAGGTCACATTTGGCTATAAATTGGGCTCTCAGTCTTCTCAGTACGCTGAGATAGCTGCAATCCTAATAGGCCTACAAATGGCAGTGGAACGCTCCATCCAGACGCTAGTCATCTGCACTGACTCTAACTATGCTCGACTCAGTTTCTTGTGTCATCTCGCTCTGTGGAAACAGAACGGTTTTCTCACAAGCAACAAAAAGGTGGTAAAACACAAAGAGCTCTTCATGACATGTGATCACTTAGTGACATCACATGATCTACAGATCTTCTGGAAGAAAGTTCCAGGACACTCCAGGGTCCCAGGCGATGACAAGCACTACAATGACCTTGCAGACTCCCTAGCCAAGGAAGGAGCCGTTGACGGACCCACGTGGTCCTTTGACCCCTCCTGGCTACTCAACACTCAGTCGTCACAAGCTACAACTGAGGTAATGGCAGTCACACGCGCACAAGCTGCAGCTAAACCTGCTGATAACACAGTTTCTGTGCGCCCGATGTTGACTGACCCAGACATCATCCAACTTCAGAAGTTGGATCCTGCAATTAACTCGATGATGCTGTATCTGACTGACCCAGACAAATACACTCCATCGAAAGACGAGCTGGATTCCAATCCAGACCTCAAAGTTCTCTTTCAGCTGCGCAAACAGCTGAAACTAGTTAAAGGCATCCTAACTTTTGCTCATGGACGGACGTCCTCACCTGTGTTCGTGGTCCCCCATGACCACAGGGGGGTGATGTTAGTCCATGCACATGACCTTCCGTCCGCAGGACATAAGGGTGAAAATGCCACGCTGAAAGCATTGAAACAGATTGCTTATTGGCCTGGAATGAAAAAGGATGTCAAAGACTACATAAAAGGGTGCCTGATCTGTGGCCAGTTTCAACCATCCAGACCACTTCACAGAGCACCACTGCATAGTAGAGGCATTGCATTTCCATGGTCGGACCTCCAGATTGACTGGGTCGGACCACTCACTAAGACCTCTAGAGGAAATAAATATTTTCTCACGGTAACCTGCGCGTTTACCAAATGGGTAGAATGTCTACCAGCCCCTAATGACACAGCACAAACCACTGCTATGTTGTTAATGAATCATGTATTTTCAAGGTTTGGACTTCCCCTTAGGGTGAACTCAGACCAAGGTACACACTTCACAGGTGAAGTAATGAAGGAACTGTGGAAGACGCTAGGCGTCAAAGCCAACTTCCATATTGGCTACCACCCACAGGCTTCAGGCCAGGTTGAGAGAGCAAACAGGACTGTGGTGAGTATTTTGAAAAAATACGTAGCCGCAAACCACAAGGACTGGGATGTGAAACTCCCTCTGGTCCTCATGGCCATAAGGGCCACTCCACACACGTCGACTGGCATCGCTCCTTTCGAGATGATGACGGGTCGACAAATGACTCTCCCTCTACACCTGTTGTACCAACCAGGCGATGCTGCCATGGCAACAGCCTACACCACACAACAATACATGAAAGACTTGGAAAGACACCTTAAAAACACTTTTGCTTTCGCACAGAAAAACCTGGAAAAATCAGCTGAAGGACGCAAAGCGTACTACGACCAAAAGGCCTCTCACGAGGAACTCCAAGTGGGAGACAGGGTCTGGTACTACACGTTTGCACCCAAAACTGGGAGAAGAGAGTCCGGGACCGGAACTCTCGCCCGTAAGCTGATGCCCAGATGGACTGGACCCCATCTGATAACCGACAAAGTGTCTCCAATTATCTACCAGATAAAAATCAGTAAAGGCCAAAAAGAGCCAACTGTTAAATGGGTACACCGTAACCAGGTTAAACCACACAAGGCGTGCAATAACTCCTCAGGAGACAAAGATCTCACAAAATCTGACCTCGTGGGAATAAGGGTCATCCAAGCAGAAGATAAATAATGGATAATAAACTTAACCATAGTTTAAATTCACAGGACCTACCCTTGACCATTACGAAGCTAAGACCTACCTCTTTGTGCTTCCATAGGACAATGATGGTACCACTCCTGGTAATCTTCACCCTCTTGGGTGCCACCCAAGAAATCAAAGCCCTCGTACATGCGGTAAATGAGTTAGCCCTTAAGGTTGAAGCGGATTACGCTGTCGCACACCTAATGGATAGGATTTTTGCTGACATGCTTAGAGATATCAGTTCGTCGGTAGATACACTAGCCACCGGTAGGATCCCACCGTATCTAGTCTCTCTACAGATGGTGAACGACATCCTCAGCTCCGCTACGCACGAAAAAGTTACGCAAACACAGGCACACCTGGCTTACACTCTCGGTAGCGCAATCCCAATCTACGTCAATCACAAAACATTTGAAATGGCGTTCATTATCAACCTACCGATAATTCCCTCAAACGGCATATATAGACTCAGGGACGTCGTAAATGTTGGCAATTGGCACGGCGAAAACCATGTTCAAATTGACACACCAAGGATGGTTGCGTACCACGACGACAACCCCTCCGTTTACCTAGCTCCAAACCTGCAGATGTGTGTTCTCACTCGGGAGATACACTATCTGTGCCTGAGCAAACCGTTTATGTGGAATAAAACCGCGGGCATATGCAGGTTAACACCTATTCCGGAAAATTCTAAGTGCTCAACGACCGTAACGCCTCGACACCTGGCTAAAGATGCAAAAGCGGAAATAATTGGCTCTCGTTGGCTAGTGAACGCTCCTCAAAGACAGGCGATCATAGCCTACGATCAACCCGGGGCAAATAGACCTTTGACGTTACCGGACAAAACGATGTGGATCAGTGTTCCCCAGGGAACAACCATACACATTGGTGATTTGACGCTCTATCACCTCGATCCGGAACGATGGGACGCGACTCTGGATGACTCAGAGTACCTAGGAAATATGTCTATAGACATAGATCCAGAGACTCTGGGAAGGATCCGTTTTGAAGGCACCCAAGTCGTCGACGTGGAACCAATAAACCAAGTTCTCAAGTCCCTCAGGTCCACAACTAAGAACCCGATCCAACCAATTAACTATGCGTGGTCGAGCGCGGACACATTAATCATAGCCCTGCTAATGACGATAACCCTCGTATTGTGTGGGATACTCGCATCCCTGTCCCGGGGCCAAACGTCACTCCGAGTCGACGTGGATCGCCATGCAGCGCACCTCGATATGATTATGCCTCGCGTAAGCGGGTCTGCAAAGAAGCCACTCACACGGGACAACGTGACTGAAACTGACAACCAGGGTGAGGAGGAGCAGTGAAACGATGTTTCTAGATGCTTAGTCACTACTCTTGTCGGTGTTGAAACGTTGTTTAGTTGATTTTGGTTGTTTCTGAGGTAAGAATGAATCTTGTGTGTAGTAAGTTAGAGACTAAGAAGCCTTTGACCATGCCAACATGCAGTTCATTCATTAAATTGCAATCTTTGCGGAGTCAATGTATATTATTGCTACTTTAAGTACCATAATCTACATTGATCTCACAACGCTTAAGCCGAACCTACTCGAACAATTCTATTCGGGGGGATAGCTAATTCTTTTTGATGAGTCTCGCCATAGACTTCCAAAACATTTATGAGGAAACCAAACACCCAATCTCAAGTCGTTCGTCTAAAAGACAACAGACATTTGAACCAAACTATATTTTGCCATGTAAAGCTAACTTAAGCCAAGTTAGAAATGGAAAAATAGTTTGGAACCCTTTTCTATAGGCTTAAACCCCTGTAGTTACCCCTTTCAGCATGCTCCACCCCTTAACTGGTAGTCGTAGCTGTTCCCAACCATAATAGCTTACACACCAGGTGCATATAGTTTAAGGCCTTATGTAAAATCCCCTTCATAAGCCCACCTTAAACCACATAATTGCATGACACATTGAACCAGAACGGCACAGGCTGGACGTCGCTGGAGACAACCTTCGCTGGAGGCGACCTGCAATCCTGACGTTGGTCTCCACTCTTCATCCGGTGGCCGCTTCTTCAGTTCAATCCAAGGGTACCCCTCTGTATGCTGATTAATCAACACTTCCAATCGTTGTGGATTTACCGTTGTGGATTATATGACTTTTTCCAATGGATTACAGACTCTGTTTCCAAGGGGTTAAAGCATTGCTACAATGGAATTATCGAGACGATATGGAATTATAATCAACACAATGGAATTACCAAGAACATTGTGGGATTACCTTGACTTTTGTTTTCCTTGCTGGATTACCTTGACTTTTGTTTTCCTTGCTGGATTACTTTTGACTTTTGTTTTCCTTGCTGGATTACTCTTGACTCTTGTTTCTTTGCTGGATTACATCAAGCTTCAAGGACAATCGACGGCGTAAGTCCATAGTTGGAATTCATCCCCATGGACAGGTGATGATTTCCAAAGGGGGGACTGTAGTGGACTAGGCCTACGTCGAAACTAAGTCTAAGGTCAAAACTCTTGACCTTTAGAACCTTGTGGGACAGGAACTGTCATTTCATGTATTTGAATACATAAATACAGGTTCACCCATCCTGAGACTTTCTTTCTTGAAGATTCAAGTGAAAAGAACACTCTCTTTTTTATTATCATTACTACCACAAATGTTGATAATCAAAGTGTCTTAGTTCAAACCATTTTAGATGTTGCAGTGAACTAATCAATTTTATT